AAAAAAAAAAAAAAAAAAAAAGATTCAAAGACAATTCAATCGAATCATCAAACTGAATTGAAAAGTCAAATTAAAATATCAAAATGGATTCTCCACATTGATTCAGATGGCTTAGATGTTTCCTGATATATGCAAAACCGGCCTAGCTCTCCGGCTTACTGAGAAGATCTGTGATAATTTTATCATATCTTGAGCATCAAAACTACGGCTGCTTTCATTGGGATGAATCAACATTACATCTTTGGAAAGTCCTACCCCAAGAAGGCCTACAGACCTTTTTTAAAGACTTAACTTTTTCTAATTCTTGTACAATTAATTGGGGGGGGGGGTTATGGTATTTTTATTTTAGATCTCTGTATGCTTCACAAATGATTCAGAAGTGCTTTGGGTCCTACATGAGCACAGCCTTTCTCTGCTCTTTATTAAAACAGCCCGTAGTGTTTTTTAGACTTCCAAAAAAGGTGCATCTGCTTTAAAGAACTGATTCATTACAGTTTGTGTAAGTAGTGTCAGGCTGCCAGGTGGAGTCGTGAGGAGCTGGAGAAGACTACATGGACAATGTGTGTGCTTCCTAAACTAACCATTTGGACAGGCTTACTTGAGAGCAGGTGGTCATTTGGGCACTCATATCTTAAGCTACATTAGGGGGCTATCATCTAGACAACACCTGAGAAAAAATTATTTGGACATGTCCTAGCTAATAAGATATTGCATTAGCATCACCATCCTACATATATTGTAGGAGAATGAGAACAACATTCTGAAATATGGTATCTGGTTTTTAATACAGGTCTGTCTTGATGGCTTTGAATTGCTTCCCCCTGTTTCTTTTATCCTAAAATCGGGAACAGGCCCAGTATATCTGAATGGGCAGCACCTAATCTGTAAGTAGAAGCCACGTTTCTTGAGTGTGTGTATGAGAAGAGACTGAGAAGTAGTGAGACAGATAATTAGATCAGGAGATGTGGTCTGGAATCTATATATGGAAATTCATTTGTCAACGGAGATGTAGGTGAATGAATTTGTACATGTAGATAACAACCAGGAATTAATAGGGTTGTTTTTTTTTTTTAATTTCATGTAATAATCTGCAAGATATGGGGGTGGGGGAAGATGTTTGTATCTTCAGAGTATATCTAGCAGCAACTCAAACACTGGCGGCTAATCCATGCAATTCTTGCTGTCAATGGGTTATTGCTAAATGCATTGCTGGCAATAGCTATATATGGCCTCCAGATACAACTAAGTATTACTGAGAGAATGAATATGTGAATCCACCCTGATGGTGGCTTACTTTTTAAGATCATTATATCAGCTTTCCCCAGCGTGATGCCCCTCAAGTGGAATAGACCCTTAACCCGTTCATCACAAGAAAGCTATTGCTGGATGGTGCAGTCCAATCACAAAATTGGGAAGGACTGGTATATACTCCATAAAGGGTTGTGAACAGCATGATCTAGATGTTTCTTTTCTTTTTTGGAAAGAAATCGGAGGTTCTATGATAAAACAGCAAACAGTTTCTTGATGGTTGTAGTGGAATCCAGGCTTCTGGAGGAGACAGACAAGATTATGAATTGGAGCAACAGGCAGGAGAAGGGGTGTCTAATCTTTTCCCAGAGTTTGGGCTTTTTCAGAAATAAATACCTCTTGGTAAGCTGCATCTTCACCCTAACTGCAACAGACAAATACAGGCATGCTGAATTTATGAGTGTGAGGAGAATAGTTAAACACCCCCTGTGTGGTCTAATTTGTTCTGCTAGCTTCAGTTTTTTTTTTTTTTTTTTTTAAGAGAGAGACAGAAAGCAGGATGTGGAAGAATCATTATTTAACTTACTTTCTTGCAGGCATCTGTTGCTTTTTTTCTCCCTTCTGCTGGGAAGTGCAATGTTTTTTTCTCTATCCTGTTTACAAGCTATTTTTAAACTTCATATTTGTATTCAAAGTAGTGTACAGCTAAACAAATAATCAAAAAGATTTGAAATTTAATGTCTTTTCTTACTAGGGAAAATTAACTACACTTAGATTTTTAATTGTTAAATGTTTATATTAACAGCGGTACAAACCATAATATTTCAGAGAATCAAAAAAAATATGACATCTTACAAGCAATAATACACACATACATGTGTCATATTGTGCCATCTAGAAATCCATATTTTTCTCTTCTTCAACTGGTTTCAATTTATATGTTAATTTTTCCAATTTTACTTCGATCCCCATTTTAGATACTTCCAGGATTTTGTTCTTATTCATCTATCAGCTGTACATAAAAACACTACTAGCACCTTACTTTTCACATTTGTATTATCAGAAAATAATGATGAACACGAATTGGAGTACAGTGTAAGGCCACATCGGAATACAAAGAAGGTAGATCAGCATGGAAAAGTTGGAGACCATGAAGGATGGCATTTTGGCTGCTACTCAGAAAAAGATGTTAGTTTATATTCTTTAAATAAGCATGGGTTATTAAATTGAGATGACCCTTTAAAAGTGGATCTCCTTTTTCAAAACAAGTGATGTTTGCTATTTTAAATATTTTTCAAAGTATAACATTAATTTTCAACCATGAGTCAGCTTGAAAAACTAAATCCCTGCACTGCTTTTCTAGCTTATGAACAAAAATACAAGAGTGTAGGATACAAGGTCATCGAAGAGCAAGTCAGATATATTCATAATCATCTTATCTATACAAGAAAATATACGATTGCCTTTTTATATATGAATTCATTAGAATATTTGGTCAACTGGAAATATTGCTAGGCAAAGACAGACTGTATGTAAAAAAAAAAATCATAATAAAAGGGATTCAAACAGGAAGTTGAAGCTGCTACTACTACTATGAGAGGTCTTGCTGTGAGGGGTGAACCAGGGATGGAATATAAAGGCATCTTAACCCTTTAAGGTATGAGTCCAAAATAGATAATCTGAAACTCAAGTTCATGAAGTTTGATACTCCGATGTAGATCTATTCTTGGGCTTCAGTTTCTAAAGTCTCGTATGAAACAGAACCCAGTGAAATTTATTGTGGCATAGTGAACCTGACCTAGCCGGTGTAATTTAGCCAATAACTGGAGGTGATCGTTTTTGAAAGATGAAGGCTGAGAACAGCTGATATTCTGTGCCTGCTCCCAGCATGGGACTTTTTTTTTTCCTTTAAGCCAGCTTTTGCTGCCTTTGTGACATCACATTCTGCTCTGGCTTCCATTCTTCTGTCCTTCCCCATCGATCCATCTTAACTGGCACAGAACTCCTGGTGCTGTTGAAGACACTGGCTGAGCTCACGTGATAAAAGGTGCCTCCTTCAGTGCACAGCTGGGCACGCTGCTTTCACACTTCTCTTGCTGGTGGCCCAGAGCGTTTTGGGTGCTAAGGGAAAGGAGGTGATGCTCTTCAAAGGTGCACAGTGGTGGTGGATGTTTTGTTTAGTGCTGCCCTGTAATTCTCTTTTGCAAGTGGAAGATGATTCTGACTATGAGCCGACAGAAGATGATATTCCAGATGACGTAGATGCTGATGAGAACAGCTTTGATGAAGGTGAAATACCCAGGGCAGAGATGCAAGCTGTAAGTTAGGCTGATTTTATGGATGTGGTGTTTCCACAGTCAGAGTGGATGGATGGATAACGTTCAGTTTTGCTAAGTTTCTTACTTTTCCAGACTTACCTTCGTTTGCTTCCTTTTCTACTATCTTTTTTTTTCTTTCAAAAACTGCATGAGCATTAAAGTATACTTCTATGCATATTTCTCTTATGTATTGGAGGAAAACAAACAAAAATGATGTTGTATATTCTTGCCAATATCCATATATTTATGTGCCCATTTCTTACTAATATATGAATTTCGATGTTGAAAACTGCCAATCCATAGAAATATGAATATTGAAGGAAAAATACATTCTGATTATTCACATAGATTTTAAAAAGTGGGAACTGAGCAAACCTATCCTAAAACAGGAACTGACCACTTACTTCCCTAGAATAGGTCATTAATTTAGTCTATGCACAATCCCTGGTAGAACAAGGACAGTCAGCTTGATCCCTACAAATGTTTTAGACTACAGCTCCCAGAATCCTTTGCTACTGGCTTTTCAGAATGGAGGCAATAGCCTGGCTGGGGTCCTCTAGAAGTGAACTTTAAGCATCTCTCTCTGAAACAGGATAACATCTCTCTCAAGTTGAATCCTAGTAATTTCACGGCCGTATTCATATAGTTTTCCTGGCAACAATATGGAAGCAGCTTACCATTGCCTTCTTCCAGAATGTTTTTGGTTTTTCAGTCTAACTTACAGTTTTGATATGTTCTGGAGGCTGTCCTTCAAACACTAAGCATGTCTCACCCTACTTAGCTTTTTGAGATCAGCTAAGATTAACTAGAGAGGCAGTTTGGTATAGCGGTTAAGGCACCAAGCTAAAAAGCAGGAAACCTGAGTTGTAGTCCTGCCTTAGGCACGGGAGTCCTTTGGGTGTCCTTGGGCCAGTCCCTCTCTCTCAGTCCTAGGAAGAAGGAGGCGAGGGCAAACCACTTCCAAAAACATTGCCAAGAAAACTGCAGGGACTGGTCCAGGCAGTGGCCAGGAGTCAACAGTAACTTAAAGGCACCAAAAGAAGAAGAAGAAAAAGATTAAGTAGGTACCATTACAAAGCTGTACATCTCTGAGGTAAGCATAAAAATTAATAAGAATACTGACAATCAGAAATAACTATCCAAAGATAGGATACGGATGCATTAATTAAATTAATCCTTACTGACCATTGATCTCAACCTAGAGCTCAGCTTGCTTTTTGAAGACTAGGCTATCTCTAGTTATTACTGTGGAAATGTACATCCTGTTCAGTTCTCAAGCAGATGTTTCCACTGTGTAATAGGGTGTTTTCCTCTGGCTTTACTATGGGCCCTTTCAGGATATGTTTGTTCTTTTATTTGAGGAATTTATGTAGCTGGCCTCTCATAAATGACCCAGGGTGGCACACGAAACAACAAAGCCCTAAAAATTAAACCATCATAACATAGAATATAAAATGAACTCCACTGGAGGCAATGCAACAACTGAAATGATCATCCCAGATGGGTATACGAGCCCTCCTGACCTAATTCCAGGAGGAAAAACCAGGTCTTCAAAGCTTTATAAAAGGCAGGCAGGGTGGAGGCCATTCGAATTATTTCATAGGACAGGCACAGTGACAGAGACACATCTCCTAGGTCCCAGATGATGTAGAACAGGTCCCTTCGTCTCCTAATGTGTACAGTAGAATTAACTGGTAGACTCACGTATGAGTAAAATGCATAGTGCTGCTTTCAACTGTAGTAGAGGGATGCAGTTCGTTTCTTGTGCAATATCTACCATACGCTATATCCATTAGTAAGGCAGGAGTGGGCAACCTGGAGCCTGTGTGTGATTCTCAGGCCCATTTCAGCAGCTGGAGTGGCATACTTTTTTTGCTTGATACAGCTCAGTCTAGCAGTAGCATTTTGTGTACAGAGTGAGGAAGATAACCTTGTAGAAATATGCCAGAATCGTTCCCTAACCAAAAGGGGCTGAAACATTCTTTTTAAGTCCAGAGCAATGAGATATCGTTCAGAAATAGTTCAAGCAGACCTCCCTAATTCACTGACGGAGGAGGAGGAGGAGGAGCAGGAGCACAATCAGACTTACAAGGTTCTGCTGTTATAGCCAATCTTGGCAAAAGTAGTTTTAGCCTTCCTGTGAAGTTAGATTCTTGGTCTGGTCTACCTAGTGGGGCTGACAACAAGAGAGGGAAGATGTCCATTTCATTAATTTTGTGGCAACTTGTGATAGGCATTGTCCAAAAAGGAAAGACTAGACATAATGGATATTTAAAGTAAGCCAGCAGGGTGATGGTTATGTTCTTTGTTCAGGGTCAGTCTGGGACGTTTTACTACCTGAGGACAAGAACAAAAAATGGTGTCCCTTATTCAATCTACAGGAGACTAGAGTAGCAGCTGACATCAGTGCCTGTGATAGGATAGCAAGAGTCAGCTGCTACTCTAGTCTCCTGTAGATTGAATAAGGGACACCATTTGTTGTTCTTGTCCTTTCAGGTGCAGCAAACACCTTTAGCAGTCCAGGAGAGGCTAGGTGTCATCACCAGTTCTGCCTCATCAACAGGAATGAAAAGATGGAGTATTTACAAGGGTTGTCCCTCCCTGAGGCAGATACCTCATTCTACCTAATGACAGGACTAGTCCTGTCTAAATACATGCAATCTGAAATACTTCATCCTCTTCAATTACCTTGGGATTCTGTTGCATTTGTCAATCAGCCATCAGCCAGGAAATATTTTTTTTCATAGCATGGGGCAAGCTCCAAAAAAGCTTATCTCTTAGTGGGGCATTATACTTGGATTTAATAAGTTGATAGGCTGAAGCTTCAAAAGAGGCTGTATTCATCCTAAAGCCCTGTCCTTAAAAACTTAAAGAATGGTTATAGATAAATGAGTCTATCATTCTGTGTTGTTCCCTACCCAGAGTTATGTATTTAAGATGGGCGGCTATATACATTTTCTAAATAGATAAATTCTAGTCCTTTGATATATTCAGTGTTTGCCTTCTGATGCTTCCAATTGCTTAATTGCTCTCCATTGACATAAAGAGCTCACCACCATAATCTCTCTAATTGGCCTTAGGGTGCTATTTAGTTCAAAGATGATAAACCATAGTGATGTCACTGCAGACAGCAAGACATGGCATCTTACATACTGATTGATAATCAGGAGACAGGAAAAGTAAATGTAATACCCAGTATGCCAGTTGAAAGGAAAAGATAGAAATTAGTGTGGTACAGAATGGACAGCATGGTGGCCGCAGCACCACCAGGCTCCCTCGCTCTCCTGAGTTTAGTTTTTGGCTGAAAAGAATATTATTATTGGTTAAAAATAATGGGGAAGCTAGCTTGCCAAGAAATAATTTGTTCCCTGTTAAAGAGGCATTTTGGGATAAGCCATGTTCATCATAACCGCTGTTCAGTGACCAAGCAAACAAGTACTCAAGACTAGTTCTTAAAATTCCAGATATCCCTCTTGTAGAGCCCTTTTCTTTGCCTTCTTTCTTGGAGATGGAAAGGGAATGTTCTTCCTTTGTACAGACCACGAAGACCATTTGGATGTGGGTAACATCCTAACTGAGAGCCAATTTGGTGTAATGGTTAAGGCATCAGGCTAGAAACCGGGAGACTCTGAGTTGTAGTCCTGCCTTAGGTACAAAGGTCAGGAGGAGAGGCAATGGAAAACCCCTTCTGAAAAACCTTGCCAAGAAAACTGCAGGGACTTGTCAAGATAGTTGCCATGAGTCAACACTCTCTTGAAAGTGCACACACACACAGCCCTAACTTACCTAGGGCACCAACTTCAACTTGTGTATTCCAATCTAAATTCAGTCATTAACATGAAGATAATGCTAAGATTCCAAAGGATGAATCATAAATTATTAAGACCTTTGAAAAATTAACCTGAACATAACATCAGTTTGAGATTATTCCTTCTCCTGGATTATCCAAGAGGGGAAAATTAACATATGAAATAACCACAGTATTTGGATACCAAGGCAGGATTGATCATTTTATATTAGCTCTATGAGTATTGGATGTTGGTCATTAAAATGTGAAGCCAATACGCTTATTTTCAAAATGCACAAATCCAGTACTGTATTAAATGTTTCTGTCTGTAACTCAGTTAAAATAGATTCCTTCCCCCCACCGTCCCCCATAGCTCTTCTAAGGCCAAATAAAGCTGCCCATTTTGGGCATAGATCAGTGTTTTTTCAGAGGTAATACATGTTTAACATACTTCTGTCCAAAAATATATTTCCTTGAGAAGTAGAAAAAGCTTAAAATCACAGTCCATCTCAGCAACTGTGGCTTTCAGTTCAACATTTTGCTACAGATGTTTGAGTTATGATTTTAGGTCACTCTGCTGCATATGTTTCAGAGCTGCTGAGATTGTACGTATGAGCTTAGGCAAAACGACCTCTTTATCTAGGTCCCTGGAGTTCTGCTTTTCTCTTCAAAAGATTCAGATCTCTTAAATCCAGTAAAGTGGGAGGGTTTGGAAGAAAATCTGCCTTTTGCATACATCATAGAGCATTTCCCTCTCTGAATGTTGATTGAAATTCAGATATTGTTTGGCATTTAGCTTGGCAGGGAGACTGCAGTATTTTGAAGCCAGTTTTCTGACTATTCAGAACGCACATTAATAAGTTATTTAAAGGGAGAACATATGCTAGTGAGTATTTTCAAACTGGTAAAGTTCATTTGGAGTCAACTTTTTGTTTTACCATCAAGAAATGATATTTGGGTTTCCTCTCCATAGGAAGAAGCATCTAATCAAATTTCCTAGCTGCAGCAAGTATCATCTGAAGGAGACTTGCCAAAGAACCAATTTTGGATGGTTCCAATTTCTGCCAATGGATAATAAAGTTGCCTGATTAAAGATTTATTACAAAAAAAGCAATTGTTTGTGGGTCTATCATAGTCTCCTTTTTGGATGGGTAATATGGATGGTGGGGGGGGGGGAAGGGAGATAGTAAAGATATCACCAATGATTACTTTTTGATGGTATAACTCAAGCAGATGGTATTTATCAGAAGCAAACACACATTCTGTGGAGCTGGGCAACAGTTTTCATTGCCCACATTCATGAACAGTGGTGGTCTTCATCTAGGTTCTGGGCGGAAGAAGTCTAGGGCCCCACTTGGCAAAATGAGTAGGATAGTCCTAATTACAGCAGAGCAGGCTTTGAGGTTATATGCATCACCACCTATCATCACTTGAATATTGTATCACTAGAGCAGTGTTTCTCAACCTTGGCAACTTGAAGATGTGTGGACTTCAACTCCCAGAA